TCAAGCATTTTTCATTAGTTTTCCAAATAAATTAATTATGAGATAATATCTTGGGATTATCTTGGAAATATCCTGATTGGATATGATTGAAATTCCTTCCATGTTTAAGTTTATCTTCAATTAAGAGAGTATTAAAGATAGACTTAATTACCAAATTATTATCTTTACTATCTTTGACTTTTCTCCTAGCTATGGGCAGGAGAGCTTAATGAAGTTGTACCCACTCATGTCTTCAAAGAGGTCGAAATGCACGCGGATTAAATGCGAACCTCGTCAATGTAATGAGGACATTCTTTTGTTCTTCGACAAAAAGTTCACGTGAAAACTCTATAATTTTAAGGATTATTTTTTGTTCTGCAATAGTACCAAGGAGAAAGAAAAATTGGCACTAGACATGATTGGATACTCAACGACTATGCCACTGGTTAACTCGTTGGAAGAGCAACAAGGTGCATATTATTTCTGAATTTTGTTATTCCGAGCTCCTTTAATTAAGACACTTACGAAAATCTGATACTATGGAAAATACTATTCTTTTTCATGCAACATTGGAATTTACGTTGGAGAAACATGTTATTGCACTGAATAACTTTCTTATTCTCATTGATATTTCGTTTGAGTATAGTTTCCATGTGGTATAGTATCTTAGTGAATAAGATGTTGAGTTTTTATTGGTGTATTTGAGTTCGAAACTTCTTTTTTTTGTAATAGTTTCGAACTCGTAATTTTTCTCTAATAATAGTAAAAAAAACGTTTAAAAGAAACTAAAATAAAAAATAAAAAATAAAAAAAGCATTCTGACATCTCTCTAAGAACCAGTAAGCATGTACATGCTGCAGGTTTTTGAGCTGTAAAGTTATTATTTGATACTTTGAAAGGAACCCCACTTTCAGTTTTTCACTGATGCCTCTTGGGCATGATGGCATTGTAGTTTTAGGTCATGTGACATTGTGACTGTTACCACTGCAATCTTTGCTCATATTTCTTTTGCATTTTTACTCTCTCTCTCTCTTTTCCGATAAAGCAATCATCCATTTGAAGATCGCATTGAAGAAGTTGTTGAATGTTTTCTGCAATTGGGATTCATTTTTGTCAGATTGTTCTAGCAATTTTAAAGTTATGTGAACCTATTTAGAGATATTTTATAGGTATATTGATATATATTTAAACTAAGCTAAACAATAAATAATTTAAATCAAATTAAACTCGCAAGCACACGAATCAATTGTAGTAAGATATGTATATATGAGGTCCATCCCACAAGAATTGTTTTAATACCAATTTAACCGATTAATCACTCTTGAGTTGATTAAACAAAGAAATGATAGATTGAATTGAATAATTGAGAAATTGATTAAGATTAAAATTAACTAGAAAAAGAAAAGATTAATTGATTAAAATAAACCCGATACAAGAAAGCCTAAGGTTATAAATTCACCAATAACAATCTTATCTACTTTTCTAGAGTCAACTACTATCCAATTACCCGGTTTAAAGGTTATTCTTTCTAAGGTATGAATTAATTCGTGTTCAGGTATCAACTCTTATACCTTTATACGATAATTATATCCTATTGGTGAGACACACAATTAAACACACTAAAACTCATTAAGCGTAGAAGGATCATGTCAACCAAGCAGGACTACCTTGGTATTGGTCATCCTGACTAACTTGCCTACTCTTCTTAATCTTAATTCCAATAAACCGAATTAATTGGCCATCCTTATAAATATATCTAAATATTTAGATACAAAATTCCTAAAGTGATCAGTCATAAAAAAATCTATACAAGCACATGGCCCCGGGCCGGCCCGTTTCTAAAATGAAATGAATGGATGGGATTTGTTTCTCCAAGTGACCTAGCCTCCTTTCCCACTCAACTCATCTTTTTCCACTCCTATCTCTCCTTGCCAACATCACCGAACGCAGACCACCACCGATTCACCACCATCGTCACCCATCATTGTTGTCGCGACCATCATCATCCCATCACCGTCGCCGACTCATATTTTCCCACTCCTATCCTGTTTCTTAATTTCCTATCTCTCCTCAACGACGTCACCGAACTCAGACTATCACCAATTCACCTTCATCACCCCAGACCTTCACTGATCCACCACCGGTGGTTCAGTTGTTGGTGCAGATATGGTTGTTGTTTCTGTAGCTGTTGTCACTGTATTAGCTGCATCTGGAAAGACATCGTCTATTCCTAACTTCCAAGTTTCCAAATTTGGTTATCTTCCAGTCAACAAATTCTATGGAGTTCTTTATGCAAAAGGTGGGTGCTTATATGAAACTAAAGTTAGTAAAAGAAAACCTCGCTTAGGAAACACATTTCCACAGCAGGTCAAAGGAGCTTTTTCAAAAGGTACTGATCCTCTAGATTTAGCAGTATCTTGGCTGGAAAATGGTAAAAGGTTGAACACAAAATTGAATATCATATTTGAATCTTCTATTTCTGGGTTCTTAATTTCTGTATATTTGAATATATGTATGTCCTGTGATAGTTTCAGGCTCGTATATGTTTGAATGTTCTGCTTCAAACTTGGTTATTTTTAATTAGTTTGTGTTTGGTTGATTAGTGGAAGGTTTCATGCAAATTGGATTTGAATGTAGACTCATCTTTGTAAGCTCTTATTTGTTAATATTGGTAGGGAAGGATGGGAATTTAAGAAACATGTATTTTTTTATTTTTTTGGTGGTTGGTTGTGAAAGATGTATTCACCCCTTTGTGATCTGTTCTAAAGAACAAAAAATGTAATTGGACCTGTGGACCCAGCCCGAATCAGTTCATTTCAAACGGGTCGGGTTAGGTTCGGCTCCAAATCTCAAAATCCATATACCCGGCCCATCCCATCCCGTTCCGTTGCATTTTTTAACAAGTCCAATCCGGTTCCTCTAAATTTGGGCCCAGCCAGCCCGTGCACACCTCTAAGAAAAACTCTAAAAGATCTGGGAGAAAGTCACCGAGAAAGTCACCTATCACATATGTGATACATGGTTTCAGCAAGTGGGTGATGATGAATCAAGACACTAGGCGACTTCAGAAAGTCACCGATGATGTTAGGGAAGACCGGAAGAGCATTTAGTTTTTGCTCCACGACATCTGAGGTAAAGACCCTTTTTCTTTCTTTTTGCATATGACCTCATCGTGCGTGTGTAACAATAGTATCTTGAGGAAAATGGCCAAACTGGAAGATCCTGCACAGTATTCCAGACTGGGACATGTGGTTAGTGTTTCTTCAATTCATTTTAAGTTCTCATATTTATTCAGTATTCTCAGTATGCTTAATTTGATTTCGCAGCCGAGGAGAGCTGATTTGGACATGAACCAACATGTGAATAATGTCTCGTACAGAACATGCCTCAGAAGTTATCGATAGCCATGAACTGCAAACAGTCACGTTAGATTACAGGGGGGAGTGGCAACAGGATGACATATAGTCGATTCCCTTACTAACGCTGAACCTTTAGACGATGCTCCAGCTCTTTCAGGTAACGGAACAATCTGATCCCCCGTTGCAACAGAAGATGATAAGAGTATTTGCATCTACTAAGATTAGCAGGCGATGGTTCAAAAATAAACCCGGGAGAACCATCTGGAGAGAAAAACCTGCAAAATGAGGAAATGATCTTATCTCTTGGTTTCGCCGGTTTTAGGGTTGATTTTTGTTTCTGTCTCCCTTTATTTCTGTCCCTTGTATGAGAGGTTTTGTTTCGGTTTTCATCTTTGGCCAATAACTTCAGTGAATTGACTAGTTCGATTCTAAAGGGAAGATGTTATTGGGACTTTAAGAAAGTCATTTTTCACTCTTTCGAGTGCGTCTTCTCATGTATACTTTTATTTCAATGCATATATGATGACTTTCTTTTCGATCACTAATAAAAGTTCCCTATAAAAAAAAACCTAAGAAAAATGAAAACTTAACTGGAAATCTACGACCAAAAGCAAACTAATCGAAATTATGACTTACAATTGGATTCATTTTTTCATCTGTTACATTGAAGGGATTTGAATAACTCATAGACCTATCATTTCAGCCAAAAAATCTTTGACATTGGCCCTACTCATCCTCATTGCCATTTGGGAAAGTTAATTATGTACATGCCTAAAATGACCCTCATCACTTACTATTACTTGTTTTGAAAGATACATTGGAAAATGGCAAAAATCATAAGTCAAATCTCAATTTTTCTGAGGGATCAAAATGAAACGTGGATGACATAAAGATTAAATATCAATGACATAGTGATAAAAGATGATGACATCTGATATAGGCTGGAAATAAAGTTATCATAAATCAAATCTCAATTGTTGAACTCATCTAAAATCAAATATCGACGACATATTGATTAGTAACTGACACAAAATGATTAGAAATTAAATCTCAAATGTTGAACTTATCAAAACGAAATATGAAAGATACACAAACCAAACATGAAATAGTATATTATCTTAACCCAATGGTCCCAATCCGTAGAAATATTGATGGAAAGTCCATTCCCAAAGACTCATTCCAAATGCTCAGGAATCCAAATTTCAAATGCACAAAATGCTACTCCTCTTCTTAATATAGTAAAGTTGTATCAATTTCAAACCATCAAACATCAAACTTAAATACTGCTTCAGAAATTTTCATGGCCATTAAAGCTTATCAATGATGTTACCATTTGTTCCTACCCGTTACCAACAGATCAACCTAATTTCATACCAACAATAGAAACCCTCACCAAACTTGATATTCTTCTAACAGTCCCACTCCCACTCAAGTAACTCATTCCATAACGACCAAAATCTCCATGCAGACGCTACTCAATGCCATTCCAAAAACTGAGTACACGAATTAATAAAAAGATGCTCTCACGCTCACTCTCTCACTCTCTCACTCCCTCACTCCCTCTCGCAGAATGTCACTATTAATAGGGGTGAGCTCTATGCAAACTTCTCATCACAACCCTAGCTAGTAGAGAGAGAGAGAGAGAGAGCCATGAAAATAACTATGGAGGAAACAAGGGTGTTGCTTGTTTTCATTGTCTTTGTAGGGTTTCTTGTGGGTTCTGAAGGAGTGGGTTCTAAAGGAGTGACCAGTAGTAGTGAGAAGGAAAAGAAAAAGGAGGTCTATGATGCCAAAAATTATGGGGGATACGGTGGATATGGAGGGAAAGGAGGTTATGGCGGATACGATGGAGACGGTGGATATGGAGGGAAAGGAGGTTATGGCGGATACGGTGGATATGGAGGGAAAGGAGGTTACGGCGGATATGATGGAGACGGTGGATATGGAGGGAAAGGAGGTTGTGGCGGATACGATGGAGACGGTGGATATAGAGGGCCTAAAGGAGGTTATGGAGGAGGCGATGTTTACGGTGGATATGGAGGGCCTAAAGGAGGTTATTGGGGGTATGGAGGATATGGGGGTAAGGGAGGGTATGGAGGGTATGGGGGTAAGGGAGGGTATGGAGGGTATGATCATGGAAGAGGAGATCGTTTTAAAGATGATCGAGATGGAAAGGAAGACCGTTCTGAAGATGATCAAGGTGGGAAAAGAGACAGCCCTAAGTATGATTATGGTAGGAAAGGAGGCAATCCAAAATATGATGATGGCGGGAAAGGATATAAGCCTAAAGGCGATGGTCGAGCTGGCGGTAGTGGCTATCCATAGTCACACACCCGACCACACCAGGCTTTGAAAGGCTTAACTGAACTGAGGCCGTATTAACTATAGAAATAATCTTGAGCCTAAGAACTTTAGCCTTTGAGTTGTTAACTCAATTTATATGTATTGGTCTTAGTTTTTAAATAAATGTGCTTCAAGTATCACTGCGCTCTCTCTCTGTCTTTATTTTGTTTATGTTTTAGGCCATTGTTCTTTAACTGTTATTTTTACATGACGACATGCATTCTAAATTATTATAACTTACAAAGACGAAATTTGAATTTGAATGAGCGCGTACATTGCCCTTAACCGGCCAATTTATCCTATCTGTGCATAGAAATTATTCCGCTGCTGGTCCAAAAATCCTCTCCACCTTGAAATAAAAGCCATTGTAGTGAATGAATGAGCTCTATTTCGTATCTTGTCTTCACAAAATGTTATTTACTAAGTTATTGTAAATATCTGTCAAAACATATGCCAAGTAACTTACTTTTCAATAAATATTTAGATGCTGAAATAATTTCTTCCGTTTACTCACTTGTGAGTGAAGGGTTTTAAGTCCGAATTTCGTCAAATGAAAATTTGAACCACATTATTATGACTTGCCAATTATAAAGCTCAGCCCACTCTCTCACCCTCTTAGTGTAAATAATATTGCTTGTGAAAAAAAAAAAAAAAAAAAAAAAAAAAATCTCCCACTCACGTAACTGACCACTTTGCCCTCTTGTGCCTCGCAAGTGACTTTTACTCTATGGGGTTGGTCATTCGAATTTTCGTGTGCACTCGGGTGTGCATGCTATCTTAGCTAATTAACCAAGGATCCGTTTTGAAATACATTTTTAGAAAACTTTATGCTATGTAGAAGCCATTCTATTTAGAGTACATTATAGTTATTTAGAAAAATGCAAATTCTAATTAAAAAGGAAACACTTGAAGTGCTTCTTGAAGGAAACACACAATATAAAAAGTACTTTAAGTGTTTTTTAACCCATAAGTGCTTTTAGCTTCTTTTTTTTTTTTTTTTTTCAAACACTACAGGAAGTACTTGTTGTGATTTGATAGTGTTTTTTATTATTTTAAAAGTAAATCTAAAATGGTCTCTAAACTTACATATGCTTAAAAAAAGATTTAATTTGTAATAGAACAAAGCTTGGTTGCTTAAAACAAACAGAAGCTCCTGCTCTCACTCAATAGCAACTTAACAAGTGTTGTTAGTTCAAGTTCTAATTGTTCAGTTTTTTTAGACGCTTGTCAAGTTATTATTGTGTGAAAGCAAGAGCTCCTGCTTATTTTTTAAGCAACCAAGCTTTGTTCTTTGTTATACTTGACGAGATTTAGATTTTGAATTGGGATGAGACGGTACTAGACTACTAATCCAACTCCCCAAATTGGAGGAATTTGACTCCTTAGATGGGTGAGATATTTGGATTCCGGGAGAATGAGGGAATCAAGAATGTACTTTTTCTACCTATTATGACCCTCTCATTATTTCTAAAATTTCAAGTTTGCCACTCATCCATCCCAACAAGTTCACTGCTCCCTGCACACCCTGCCTTCATGCGTCTGCTCCTCACTTTCCAGTTTCCACCTCCCCGTGCGACCGGGCTACACTTCCCAACCTACTAGCTCAAGAACTCTAGCCACATCTTCCCAAAACAGGATTCAAAAATCAACCACCTAAACCCAGAAAATAAACAATTCAAATCCAAATCCAAACCCAAACCCACAAACCCGTGGAAGCAATCACCCAAAAATCATGAAATACTTCCCAGGTAGAAGAGGTGGTGGCTATGGGGTAGGGTGTGTGGGGAAGATGTTGGTGAGGGCCAAGAGAGAAAAGGTACGCAAACTTGCCAAGAGGGAAGGAGTGTTCAAGTATATGGAAGAAATAAAACAAATAGCCGAGAGGGACATAAAACATAAAAGAACAAGGGCATTTTAGTAATCATATTGATTTTTATTCTAATTCAGGTGAATTAGTAAACAACTTATATGAACTCAGTTTTATTCATATTCCGATTCCATAACATTTAAGTAAACAACTTCAACTGAAATCCGATTCTGACTCCTCATTCCAACTCCTCAATCAAATTCCTCCTATTTTGATTACGGTCACGTAAACGAGCCATTAATCTAATCCAGTCTAGTAAATGCTAGCGAGTGCAAACAAACACACCCATAGGGCTTTGAGTTGGGTTCTCTAACCTTGGGCCTCCTATTGGGCTTTTTTCAGTTGATATTATGAGAAGTCTACCAATGAAATTTGCTCCCGGCACATATTTTTTTCACAAGTGAGCGGTTAAGAGTTAAATATCAACAACTCAAATGCCAAAACGATGCGCAGGTGAGCCTTGCTACCAAATACTGTAAAGCAACACAAATCCACTTCAAATCCTCAATTGAAAAGAATTGCAGTCAGTGTCAATAAAAAATCCCATTTCATAGTTTTGACAGAAACTGTTGAGAATGCAGAACAATAAGATGATCAAGATTCAAATGAAGAGTTAAGTACAATGCACTTGTGTAGGTGATTCCACATCTCAATAGAAATCAAAATCAGTGAAAGAGATTATAACACGTAACCAAGGATATATCACCTATCAGTATCTCTCATTTCATGTTATATGCCCTCAGTTGTACATGTACCCAATAATCCCACCAATAACACTAGGTATGAACCGTACGAAGAAGTTGCAGGGTTACAACGGAAACTTCAAGCTCATATAGGTTACGGGTTGAGAACAGACGCCAAAGAAATTGATTACTTACAAAAAAAATCAAGTTCAGTTTATATATGAAAGAAATAACATGTTACGACAACAGTAAATCAAAAAGATTTATTCAAGAAAAGCGAAGAAAAAACAAAAGACAATTACATATCTCTTAGTACAGATCAACTAAAAGCATACTAAATATCATTCATATAAAACGTGACCCAAATTTTTGCTCAAAGAATGGAAAAAGTAGCTAAAAGTGTGTTGAGTTAGGCGATTTTCCTTACAATGTTCTACATCACAGCTTCTGTCAGCCTCACCATGAAGCTATTCATCTTAGCCGCCTCCAGAACAATCCACGACGACTCAAACAACTCATGGAAGAACTCTGCACCGATCTCCTGGGCTGCATTTCTGAATGCAATTCCAAATGCGTTTCCTTGAACCGCTCCAAGCCTAGGCTTCCCACAAACCCCAACTATCAACACCTTTTTAGGCTCTTGTGCCAAGCAAGCACAAACCAGAGGCTTCATTCGAGCTCCCTTCTCTCTCAGACCGTCCATCAGGAAATAGCAGAATTTTGTCAATGCCTGAGGGTACCCCAATAATTTTGCATCCAACGAGTCTTCGAGTTTCACCCACCGAAATTTCCTTCCACTTCTTATGCAGCCTCTCTTGGTTATTGCCATGCTTCCTTGCCTTAGAATTGCCCTCTGGATCTTTATTGCTTGTTGCATTCCTCCTTTCAGCTTATCAAGATTGTTCATTGACAATGCATCATAAGCCATCCCAAACTCCTTGGAAGCACAAGAACCATCTGATGTCACATACGATTCAAGCAGCGCTGTAACTCCATACACCACATCTGCTGCAGATACCCTTGATCTGTAACCATGGAGTCGCAAAAAGCTCCTGTAGTAGAAATCAGTGAGACCATATTCAGGTAAAAACCGTTCGAACTCCTCCTTCATCAGCTGTTTCACTTCTGTATCCATGTACCTATATTTTTGCTGGCAATCCACAAGCGAAAATCCCATCCTTGCAAGAAGAAGCTTGAGCTTCTTCATCCCATTGTCACTCCACGTCTTCAATTTAGTAGCAATGTACGAAGAACAAAGCATCGAATCAAATAAATTCCACTCCTGCAACAACATTAGCCTAGGCTCATCTTCGTATGTAATTCTAGAAGCCTGGGGCACACGAATCTTCGTGCCGTCTTTGAGAGTCACATTAGTCACTGCCTCCAAATTCCCGGAACTGTTAATGTACTGCTCAAGCTCCATCACCGCAGCTTGGTACCTCTCATCCGTTAACCTCTCGTGCAAAAACTGATCCGTTAACGAAACACAAGCCAACCAAAGCAACTCATTTGTGTTCTTCCTCAAAGAATGTGATAAATCATACATCAAACACCCTGAAGGCTTACCATGAAAAGTACCCAAATGATAATATTTCCTCTTCAGGTCCCGGAAAAGCTTAACTGGGTCGCTCTCCCGATCCACCCTTCTTCGCTTTCTTGACCCGTCACCATTTTCTTCTTCTTCCTCCTCACTCTGGCTGTCATCACCGTCACTTTCGCTATCCGATTCGTGGTCAAACTCATCATCACTGTTCAAATCACTCGCATTCGCCAAAGCCGACACATCCTCAATGTCATACGCCAAATCAGCCTGCCCCTCATCATCCGAAGTATAAAGCACAACCACACGATCATTCTGGTCGCTCAGATTATGCAAATGAATCGGACGGTGGCTGTCAACCACGAAAACACGAGCCTTGGGAGACAAATTGAGGAGCTTCTTCAGGTCCCGGTGGCAGCCCCAATTGATCAAAAGTATCGAAACCGGGTTTTCGGACGAAGAACACAGATCGGGCCCTGCGTACTTGTGAATCTCCTGAAACGAAGAAACAGGGTAGCAAGCGTATCGAACCGAATCGGATTCGAGGACATGGAAGATGATTTTGAGGGCGCAAAGCGAGTCCACATCTGAAGTCGATGGAAATATCAGAAGAGGAGATTGAGACGACGCCGTTGCGGACTCACGGAGCCTCCGGTAGAAGGACTCCACAGTTGTCTCTCTCACCATGAGTTTGTAGAGTTTAATCTCAACTGGGCATAGAGATTTCAATATCTCAAAGCAAAAATCGAAGCTTTCCTATAAATCCCAATTCAGCGAAACCCTAATTTCAGCTATTTTAATACAATTTCTCAATTGGGTTCAAAGATTGGAGGGGGCGGGGGAATGTGTAAATCTAGAAATAGAAGTGAAAAATGAAGGGGGGTTTCTGCGT